TGGCGGAGGAATCATTTGCCCTGTCTAATAATTCATTAAGTATAATGCTATAGACATCTAAAATTCCTTGCCTTCTCTTGTGGGTACCAAGTGCAGCTAATGTTAAAGTACTTAACGAGCCAATATGGTTGTTTTCTTGGGGATCCAGGACTTTGTCTGAGAGCAACATAGCTCAGATTTTAGTTCCGTTAATCTGGTGGAGGGAATGTGTTGAGAGGAAAATTCCTACTCAACATTATAAACATTTAAACCCCACGCGTCACGTCACAGGACTCCTGCGACATCCACTCGTAATGTTAAAAATAAACATATAACATGTATCTTACTAGTACTTAAAACAAACAAAAACGTGTGAAAACAGCAACAGAGATTTGGTAATACACTATGGAATGAGTACAAACTTTGTTTATACTACTTGACAATACAGATTAACATGGGCATCTATGCTGGTAGGGCCTCAGCTGGTCCATTCATTAAGGCGTCCTGCTTTTTATTAGAGCCGCGGTGACACGGTGACGAGGTTGCCAAGATGTGTTCCTGCCAGGTGGTCATATTCTTTACATACACATATTTTTTTGTCCAGCTGACCTTGGCAATCAGGCTATTCTTATAGTTAGGTATATTATATTATAGAACCTTATGTCAGCATAGTAAGTGTATGCTGGCATGACTAATCGTCTAATACGATCTGACTGTTCATAGAATAGATGTGTACTGTAGTACCCATTATGCCATTCAGGTGTTTATGTATTTTTGTGCTTGTCCTTTTCCCTTAAAGTTTTCCAGCTGGCATTAATCCTGAGTTATTGCATTTCTATAAATTGGTAAAAAAGGACCGACCATGTTTTTCGGCTTGGCAAATCATAGTGACTGACTTCTGAACGTAAACGCTGCAGAAACGATTCTCAGGGAACAATGTGTCATGGAATGGGAAATGTACTAACAATTTTTAGGCTATTGTTGACGCCATAATGACATTATTATTATAGACCTTCTACATCGGAACGGAGTGTTAACAGCGATTGCTACCCATCATGCCATGGTTAGCGAACTATTCCTCCCCACATCGCTGAACGGCTAAAGCGAGCATTTATGATGATGATAATTGTCTTCGAGAGAGCAGTGGTGGAGGTTATGGCTCCTCGAAGAACAAGTGAAGGTCGCCCAGAGCGACAGTGCTGGCCATAAAAGTGCAAAATGCGAGAAGAAAAGGTTCGCAAAGAAATTAGTGACTTTCCAAAATACTGTGATGGGAACAACATTCTGCAAAGTTCCAGCAAAATGATGAGGATGATAACGAATTTAAATATGTACACTTGGTTTAACACTAAATTTTATTCATATTGTCAGGAAAAAAAAAACATATCATCCTCAACGTGTGGATACTACAAGGAGACAAATAAATAAATAATCATGACTGCTCTGTTCTAACTAGTCCCTATGTGGTACTCACCTTTTCCAGTTGTGTTCACGTTTTCTGAACCATCGATGAGTACAATATCTTCGGTCTTTCCTTCATATTGTGAATCATCTTTAGGTGCAACATTTTTAACTTGTCCATCGTTTTTTGAGAGATCTGTTAGTGCACTATTTTTAGCCTGTCCATCGTTCTTTGAACAATCTTTCACTGTAATATCTTCTGTCTGCCCACCTTCCTTAAAATAATCTTTCGCTACCATATCTTCTGTCTGTTCATCATTCTTTAAACCATCTGTTAGTGTAATATCTTCTGTCTGCCCACCCTTATTTGAACCATCTTGTAGTCCAATATCTTCTGTATGTCCATCGTTCTCTGAAACATCTGTTAGTGCAGTATCTTCTGTCTCTCCATCGTTTTCTAAACTTCCAGTTCGTCCGTCGTTCTCAAAACCCTCTTTCAGTGCAATATCTTCAGACTCTGCATCATTTTCAGAGCAATGATTCGGCGCAGTATCTTCAGTCTCTGCATCGTTTTCTGTACAATATTTCAATGCAAAATCTTCAGTCTGGCCATCTTTATCAGAGCCATCTTTTAGTGCTATATATTTGGTCTGTCCATTGATCTCGTGCTGTTCGGCAATGTTTTTGTCTCTGCCATTTTCAGACGCAGCTGGAAAAAAATAATACATATTAAATACAAATTACAGTTATCAAACAATGTGGAAAATTATAAGGCAGTTTCGAATTCAACTTCCTGTTTGCATCTGCATATGCTTACGGAGCGGCCATAACTAAGTGGAAATGACGCTTCTCCGTTAAACAACAGCGTGGGTATATTCTCTCAGCAATGATGAATCAGACCTATGTGTTTTGAGTTTCTTTCATTGTTTTCTGATAATTATATCTGAACGAGAGGCGAAGAACAAAACTAGCCATTATGTAGATTATAATGCTTCGAAGAGTCAGACGTCACAGTGTCTGTTATGGCACACACGTTAATCAATATGTTTTTTTTTTCGGATCAGAATGTCTTCGCACATGTACGGTTGTCTATCACTTGCTGCCGTTCCTTTAACTTTTCCGTCATTTAATGTTTTAAAAGGAGTGTTTCACCCGTATATATGTATTCATTCATTGCATTCACTCATTGCCCTGATGTGTAAATATATGTCACACAGGGCTCACAGACTATTCCACTATACCAATCTATTATGGATGGAATCTGTCTAGCGAATTTGGCCTCCCTCATCAACTAGTGTTACGGTTCCTTGTTGATGTCCTCGCTTCCTTAATTGAACAACGTAATTCCCATTTCAGTGCATGTGTATTGATTCTCTACTTATTGCTTGTCAGTATATCTCCAGTATATCGCCTTGTCTATCTTATGACTGATGATACAAGTGGTTGCCTAGAAATATCTCTTAGTTTTTTACTTTTGTTTTAATTCATCCCATTTCATGGTAATACATTTCCCTCAGCCATTTGTCTTTAAATACATTTAGCTTTCGTTCCATGTCCGCAGTTCTCCAACTTTCACTGGCATATTAAAAAAATTTAAATAACATCAGAACTGTAACAAATGTAGCCGGGTTTTCGAACTGGGCAGTTTAAGAGTTCCGCACTTTTTTTTAAAAGCTACCAACAGCTGCTGATGCCTTGTCACTGCGTGACATTTTGTTTTCAAAATTGCTGTCACCTTAAAAATTACTACTTTAAAAAGCAAAATGATCTATTCCTTTAATTCCTTTTGTCTTTATTGTTACATTTGCTTGTTCTATTATTGGTGTCTTCAATAATGGAGGTGAAGGTAGTCACTACTGCCTTTCGCTGGCTTAAGAATCAGCTATAAACACATGTTGCGATTGTAACTCACAGAGCATGTTGAGAAAGGTGGAGGCAGGCATGCTTCGTGCAGAGTGGCAAGCATCACTTCAGAGGTCCCCTGTAGTTAGCGTTCTTATGGTATGCTGGTGTGCTGAGAAATGAGCAGACAGACAGATTGGCCGGCTATGCACCACTGGATGGTGAACTGATGTATGACAAACTAGATATGGTGAGGGCCCTTTGGGAGCCAGTGAACAGTGTGGAGGCACAGACAGATCTAACTGTCTGAGGAGAATGGCGCTGCGAGCAGTTACCAGGTGATATGGCAGACGCTCAACACACTGGGAAAGTAGGAGACGCAAATACACTGAGAAAGTTACTGGTGCCATTGGAATTGCTACTCTTTGTATGTGCTGAAGAGGGAGACGGAGCGCTTATGGGAGTGTCCCGAGTGCTGTGAAATCGATTCCTAATTCAACATTCAACACTGGCGTCTTCAGTATATTTATCTTTTCATAACTCATTTGTAGTCAAATCTATAATGCTATTTTTCCGAAATTATCAATTGTTATGTGCCAGTCTTTGCTGTTTTTACTTAGCAGAACAATATCATCAGCAAAATCGATATCTTCAAAATGTGTGTTCTCCACCTAATCAATATATTTTAGTCATCTAGTCAATGGTTATGAAACATAATAGAAGAGATCACTGTTTCACTCAAGTTTCAACTTCAAACCAGTCACTTAGACCACCATCTGTCGCACTGCACACACTGAACCTTTATACATTGCCCTAATAATATGTATTAATTTCTGGTTCGAAGCCGGAATGAGAAAGGATGAGGGCTGGGTGTGGAGCCATTTCCCCCACCCTATAAGACAAGTACCTTACGAACTTGCCTCAAGAAATCACGCAGCACTGCTCCAGGCCCTGACGGCATCCAATAGGACGACATGCTGATAATGTCAAATGCTGACTTGAAAAGCGTGGCAAAGGAATTCAATATCAGCATCAGAGTGGCCAGATACAAGAGGAATGGCTCCACAGTTATTTGTTCCCACTACCGAAGCGAATAAAGACCACTTAAAGATCCGCGGCTTCAGAATCATTTCGATGCAGAATAATTTTGGCACACCTTTGGAGAAATTTGTCGCACGAAGATTGACTAACTACTTGGAACTACTCGATAAGTTCCCACCAACACTTGGAGGGTACAGGTTAAATAAAGAGACATGGTTCAATGCTGCAGTTTTCGCCTACGATGTTTATGAGGGATTTCAGATAAAAGAAGAGACATGTGCGGCAGCGGTGGACTTAGAAGATGCCTACAATAAAGTACCATATGAGTATTTAATGCAATTACTGCTTAAACTATAAGTAAATCCTATTCTGATCCGGTCAATTGCTCCGGAAGAAGATAGTACTCAGATGTGGTAGCTGGTCCTCAGAACAGCAAACGATATGTCCAGGCTTGCCACAGGGACCACCGCTATCACGCCTTATTCAATGTGTATACGGTGATGATCACTGAGCAGCAGTTGAATGGAAAGGGGAGAAATTTGTCATTTGCTGATGACATTTTGATTTATCGACGAGGCCATGATAGACAGGAGTTCGCTAGCACAATGGACAAAGAACTCGATCGAATTGTCGCCTGGTCTCATGGTTCCAATGCCTTTGTCAATCTTTCAAAGGCATCAGTGTCATTTTTCTCTTTGAACAATAACATAGTCAAGTCGGACTTACCAGAAGTGAAAATGCGTAATAATGTGTTGATCAGAACCAACGTTATGACGTTTCTCGGGGAGAGGTTCGATCGCAGCTTGTCATTCAAGGAACATGTTGACCATGTGATAACAAAAGCACGCAAAGGTCTATCTGCAGTGAGGATTATGGCTGCTTCCAATATCGAGCAAAGACTACTAATACTTCTAATATACGGTCTGGTCCCTTCTCCCATTGAGTACGTTCTGGCCATCCTCACTGTCAGTGCTACCCAGATTAAATGACTTGAAAAGGTGCAAAATCAAGAGATGCGCATTATTTTGGGATGTACAAGAGACACATCCCGTGGAGCAATTAAGTATCTACTTGACTTTCCAACTATGAACCAAAGGATCAGGATCTGGAGGGCTCAGGCATACCTTAAAATATGTGCTGATAAGAAACACCTACTGCATCAAGCGCTTTTTAAGTGAAAAGGGCGACAGGCTGAAGAGGGGAAAATCATGGCTGGTCTGGCAGAAGATGTTATTAGGCAAATATGCAGTCTAACCGACATTTTCCCTGGTGCAGAGTGGATACCTGTGCCTCATGCGGTTTTTTTGTATATTTTCCTGTATTGTCACACTCAACAGGCGATGTAGAGAAGAGAATCATGTTGCTGTTAATGCAGAGGTCAACGCTCTCATCAGTGAAAATTCAAACGAAGCAGATTCACTAATCTACACGGTAGGGATCCGTTATACGCCAAAAAAGAAGCGCATGGGCATTCACAGCACGCTCAGCAGGCAGAACAGTCAAAGAAGCCAACGAGGCCTTCTCCATGACAACCAGCATCATGACAATGGAGGTGATGGCAGTGACGCAAGCTTTTGCCTGGCTCGAAACACAAAACTACACCCGCGTATGCATACTCAGTGATTCGATGAGTATGAGTTCAGGCAGGTTCAATGCGAAGACAAAGGCTTGAATCATTACAGAAGTCCACTGTACGTGGAGTCACCTTTATTTTTGTTCTGGGACGCGCAGGCTTCGATGGAAATGAAAGGGCTGAGAGGCTGGCTGGATCCGCTATCACTACCGATGGTAAGCCTATGGATCATGCTGATATTATTATTGCCCTCAGAGAAATGGTAAGGATAGAGGAATTTGGGGGCAGTGAATGAACATCACTCGCCAGAATGGCAGACTTTGGAATTAGGATCGGCATAGCAAAAAACGAGACGCACACCAGACACACCAGAAGACTTGTTAATTAATATAGAACTGGTACTATTAGCCTCCGGACGGTTCATACTGAGGGGAGGATCTGAGCACATATGGACATGTCCGGAGTGCTATGATGATAACCCAACTAACTAACTAACTAACTAACTAACTAACTAACTAACTAACTAACTAACTAACTAACTAACTAACTAACCAACTAACTAACCAACTAACTAACTAACTAAATAACTAACTAACTAACTAACTAACTAACTAACTAACTAACTAACTAACTAACTAACTAACTAACTAACTAACTAACGAACCAACTAACTAACTAACTAACTAACTAACTAACTAACTAACTAACTTACTAACTAACTAACTAACTAACTAACTAAGTAACTAACCAACTAACTAACTAACTAACTAACTAACTAACTAACTAACTAACTAACTAACTAACTAACTAACTAACCAACTAACTAACTGCAAAACAGTATTTGCTACATAAACTTAAGGAAAGGATGCCATTCAGGGAAACAAACTAGCCAAGTGTTGTATGGTGCACAGAGTGGCACTGTATAGCGGTTACTGTTGAAAGCAGCTCTGCGAACCTCAGTGGCCAGACATGCACACTTGTTGACTCACAAATATATGACAGAACGGAATGGACCTAAAGACTGCGTGCCCTATGTGACATGTAATAGCACAACAGGATAATGGCAAAAACAATATCATTGCATTAAAAAATAATGTTATGTAATTTTATGTGTAAGCTATCAAAAGTATTATCAAAGTCAATTAAATTCGAAGTCAAAGATTTTTCAAACAATTCGCTAAAAATGAGTCGCGGGGTTAATATTTGCTCTGAGAGTTCTTTTAAACAATTATTTCACTCGGCTAATGTTACATCATCTGTTGTCTTGAGCATTTTTGCAGTAATATCATCATCAGTTGCTGTCTCATTGCTTGCTAATGAAATGACTACTCTTCTGATTCCCATGACATGTGTCTATGGTAAATCCATTTGTAACATGGTCCTTTTAACTTCTTCAACAAAATGTATTGGTTCTTTTGGCCAATTTAGGATCTTTTCGACGTGGTTTGCCCATCTTTTATTCTACTGAGTATCAGATTTAAACATTGTTCCATCTCTTCTTTTAATGTGACCACACCACAGTTCGATGATACTGGTTACATGTTTAGTGTACTACATAGTATGTGCTTACTTCCACTTAGCTGCGTGTTTTCTATCTTTAGCTCATTTATAGAAATAGGAACTGTTCGCTTGCTACTGACGACGATGACGACGAAAAAGAAGAAGAAGAAGAAGAAGAAGAAGAAGAAGAAGAAGAAGAAGAAGAAGAAGAAGAAGAAGAAGAAGAAGAAGAAGAAGAAGAAGAAGAAGAAGAAGAAGAAGAAGAAGAAGTAGAAGAAGAAAAAGAAGAAGAAGAAGAACAAAATTAAAATAAAGATGATTTTGAATGGAATGCAGAAGAGGAAGAGAAAAAAAAAGAATAAGGAGAGGAAGAAAAAGAAAAGGAATAAAAATAAGCATTTTTTTCTGGAATATAATACAGAAAGCTGTACATTCGTACAGTATTAAATGCCTCGTGTTTTATGCTGACATTTACTTACATTTATCTAGTAACTCATTATATTCTTGTTTCCGTCTCTTAACGCCATTCACGGCATCTGAAAACAGGTTTGAAATAAGTCAGTCAGTCAGTAATAAACCTTTTTCAGCCTGCAGCCAATCGGGCTTAGGAGGCTAGACTCATATTTATGTACATCAACAAACATTCAATGAGTGATGTGGTCAACAACACGCCCATCGCCTTTGTTTCCCATAACTTTACCTGGTAACTATTTAAATAATGGTCGACCTATGAGCAGGGTCACTGCTGTTTTAAATAAAAGAAATGTTAGAATTTTACATACGTTTTTTGTTTACAGTATAGTTTATGTTACAGCACCCATGTTTTTGTGCTAAAGTATGTGTTCGTGTGTGCATGTATGTAATTGAACACATGTTTATTGGTTTATGTATTTCATGTCCGGAAACGTATTTCAGAGTATGTAATGCTGACTGTATGTTAAGTGTTAAAGAAGAATCCTGCCAGTATGTTGCTCTATCACAGGTTACACAAGTCTCACTGGTCTCACAGGTCTCACTGGTCTCACTGGTCTCACTGGTCTCACTGGTCTCACTGGTCTCACTGGTCTCACTGGTCTCACTGGTCTCACTGGTCTCACTGGTCTCACTGGTCTCACAGGTCTCACTGGTCTCACTGGTCTCACTGGTCTCACTGGTCTCACTGGTCTCACTGGTCTCACTGGTCTCACAGGTCTCACTGGTCTCACTGGTCTCACTGGTCTCACTGGTCTCACAGGTCTCACTGGTCTCACAGGTCTCACTGGTCTCACTGGTCTCACAGGTCTCACTGGTCTCACAGGTCTCACAACCTTGGACTGCTATGTGTTCGCCATTTTGTGTATTCTTATATACTTATATACTTATGAAACGAGGACGCGTCCTCAAAATAAAGGATATATGGCGATCTTTACACATGTGGAACTGAGTAGAAAAAGGCAGTCTTCATAACTGGGAGACATTAGAAAACAAGCTGACCAATGGATGGCCTAAAAGAAAACCTGGAGACGAACAGTTAAATGGGAAATGAGGGAATGTAAAATGACTTGGCAGCAAAGCAGCAGAGAGGCAGCAAATGAGACCACTTGTGAATGCCTTATGTGATTACAAATGCCATGAAGAGAAATGCTGATGATGATAAGGCATGATACGGCATAAGACGTCTCCATCTTCTTTCCTTTGATAATATTTGCCAGTGATGAAGACTGTGCTTTCCTCATAAGTTTTTTAAGCCAACTTGAAACTCACCATTTATCACCCCCCCCCCCCCAACGCACACACACTCATATACAAACACACAAACATTCCGAGTCCATAGACGGAGCACAGAAACCAAGTGAAACGATGCTTATAAGCAGAGGACACTAACGGTTTTTAAGCTGGTGACAAACCATGTGCAGTTGCCACTGACATCAAAGGTCCATTCCATAAAATATTGTGCCAGCTAATTGAACTCAACACTCTACGATGTTTGGTTCCATGGATAGCTGCGGCAATGTTCTAAAGTGAGACGGCGCTAGTATGTGGTGTTAGTTCGTCTCAAACCGCAAGACTCAGCTCAGGTCTGCCTCAGTTCTCCATTGTCTCCAATCCCGCTCAACATCTACAATATCAAAACCTCAGGAAAACAACTGAAGGGTATACGAAGAACTTTTGATATGCAGTGGACATCCTAGCATACCGACAGGGCATAAACAGAAACAGAGGTGACAGTCTCTGAGCCAGGTTCAGTTTTCAGTATTTGCAATGAATACTTCACCCAAAGCAACAGCCATGGGTTCTCCGTGAAAAACCACACTGTGAAGACACCAACGCCGATAGCAGAATTGTGTAACGACAAATTGTAGGGGCCCGAAGGTGTAAAAAAAAAAGGTTTACTATTTGACAGACGCCTATCATTTAAATGTTTATCACAATTTATAAAGAAAATTGGGGCACAAGTCAGATTTATCAAGAGTACAAGGTAATGATGCTACGAACATCGAACAACATTTACTTATGGTACTGTAACAGGGGTGGGATCCTTTCCACTGAGTATGCACAAAGTAACAAAAAAGGACAATGCAGTGTAAGTTATTATTGGGTGCATTATGCATACCTCCTGCCAATGAATGAATCTGACAACCCCTGGATTTATCCACAATGAACAAAAGAACGACACCTTCCAGCTCCCACATTCCTCGCTCTTTCAGCAACATTGGATCAAAATCGCGACACCAGCTTCACGATTAATTGTTCAAGTCTCAAAGAAAAAAAAAGCATATTCTCTCTCTCGCTCTCTTTCTCTCTCTCTCTCTCTCTCGCCCTCTCTCTCTCTCTCTCTCTCTCTCTCTCTCGCTCTCTCTCTCTCTCGCTCTCTTTCTCTCTCTCTTTCTCTCT